AAGCACAACTGAAACGAGCGGTGAAACACGAGCGAATCAGTTACCATCACACTCCGACAGAGTTCTCTGAAGACAAAATGGTTGCTCTTGTCGGCGGAGATAACTCCGTTGACCTCATCGTAGCTGCACAAGCCGTTCACTACTTCGATCTCCAACCATTCTACAACATAGCCAAACGTGTCCTCCGCAAAGAAGGAGGTTTAATCGCAGTTTGGGTCTACAACGATCTAGTTATCTCCCCTGAAGTCGACGCCATCATGAAACGTCTTGTGGACTCCACTTTCCCGTACAGAACTCCCGTTATGAATCTTGCGTTTGACGGCTATAAAACGATGCCGTTTCCGTTTGAAGGCATAGGGATGGGATCAGAAGGGAAGCCTATACAGCTTGACATTCCTCATAAGCTTTCGCTTAAAGGGTTTATTGGGTTCTTGAGATCTTGGCAGCCTGCCATGAAAGCTAAAGAGAGAGGTGTTGAGCTTGTGACTGAAGATTTGATCAATCAGTTTGAAGATGCTTGGGGTGATGATGATGATGTTAAGAATATTTTCTACAAAGCTCATATGATCGTTGGAAAACTTTCGGTAAAATGATTTTACTTTTATAATATTCATAGTATATTTGTTTATATGCATAGTTTCATCTTCTAATGAATAAATTATTATACTTAATGCAGGCCGCAGATATAGAACGTCATCGAAAGAGATTTGAATCAAACTGTGTGGTTACAAAACTGAAGGATAGTAACAACTCAGTTGTTATTGCTTCAGGTTTTGTGTTTTTTAAAAAGAATCAATATTTACTATCTACAAATTAAACCATTACAATCTGTGTAGCTAAATTGATTTGTGTTGTGTTGTTAAATTGTAGTGACGGCTGCTGCGTTTGCTGGAGTGGCGGCTTACTGTGCCTACTCTGCGAGGAAGAACACTTAAAATATATATACATTTTGATTGACAAGAACCGTTTTATGAATAAAATATGTTGAAGGCTATTGCCAATAACTCTGTTGAGAATGTATACATGTAGTCATGTATTTGTGTGTGTATCATTGAACGGAACATTTCTTTTATATATATCATCTTCCCATTTCTGCGTGCTTGATGCAAACTACTAGGCAAGTCTTTGGGCTGAAAAAGGTATGGACAATATATCTTACCATAAGACGAATGTGAAGAGCCTTCCAGTATAAGGATCGGAACTATAACCAAATCAAACCTCAAATCTCTAAAGTTTATGCATAAGTTCTCTCTTGTTCTCAGGTTTGATGTCACCTACGATGATCCTCTTGATCATGTGTTTCAAACTTCCAATATTAATTGCATTTTAAAAAAAAATGGTTAGAGTTAGGGATTATTATACTCTTCCAATAGATACTTTGACGTCTACGATGCCTTAGAGTAGTAAGGTAATTAGGCCTGGGCACAGGGCAAATACCCGGTATTTTTGAGGTACTTGTTACCTGATTTGATTTGTTTAGATAGTTGTATTTTTTATTTGTAGACCTGTTTTGAACAATTATATCAAATATTTAAAAAATAAATAAATATTTGTAAACTATTTGACTTGATTTATTACTTGATTTTATTTTTTTACTTGACTTGGTTTAATATTCAAAATTATTTAGCATATTTTTCTTGAGAAGTGGGCACAACTACTTGTTACTCGACTTGTACTCGTTACTTGCTTTGTACTTGGTTCTTAAAGTCAAGTACTCGTTTTGTTCAAGTCAAATATCAAATCGTTTATTTCAATTACTTGTAAGTACAAGACAAGTACCAGGTACTAAAATAAAAATAACTACTTGGCGTTGTTGGCTTGTTACTCATGACTTATTACCTATTTTAACTTTTAGAAATATTTTTAATTTTTTTTTTTAATTTTATAGTTATCATATATCGGCTTAAACCATATGAAAAGTAAATAAATATTGTGTAGTACAAAAATTTTTAGATTAGAATTATAACTTGCTAATTTTTTTCTTAAATTCATATACAAGGTTTAAGTAGCTAAAATTAATAAATTATTATTAAATAATTTACAAATAATTATATAATAATTTATAAATTAATTCAGAAATAACAAGTAGTAAAACGAGACAATTATTTGCATGTATATTATTTTTAGCAAGTATTTGAAAGTGCAAGTACTCGTCTTTAATAAACAAAATTCGAGTCCAAAATTTCATTACTCGAACAAGCTAAACTAAGTACTAAGTAAACTAAAACTGGCAAGTATTTGATTTGTGCCTATCGCTACGATGAAGTTAAACATGAAATACTTGAAATCCAAAACATAATTTCATATACACATACAAATTTCCAAGCATAAGTTTTTCCGGCTCTATATATAACATCAGATTTTCTATTTGGCTAAATCAATTGGTAGTAGCCCAATAGTTTAGTTTTAGTAGACTTCAAATCAAATTTTGAACACACAATTCCTTTAGTTGCCAAGAAAATACAATACATAATTTTTTTAATTAATTAATGAAATGAATACCAATATTGAAAAAATCAAGTAATATACAACAAGTAATGGAACAAATAATGAATAACAAGTAACAAACCAAAGTAATAAGTTAAATAGTGAAAATAATACTTAATTTGTACTTACGAATAATATAATCGGTTTACTTGTTATTCGATTTGATTATACCAAATATTTGTTTTTAAAGCAAATCGAGTCAAATAACAAGTATAAACCATGTAACAAATAATAGTGCATAATCCTAGTCAGGTTTAAGAAGATCGCATGTTGCATGAATCTTTGCTTTAGAAACTCGGGAACGAAAAGCTGCACAGCAAATCTGTCTTACGTGAAGTCCTTGCTTTATTTGAAGAACAGGTTATATTTTCCTGAAGATTCTGACAAATAAGAGATAGGACATGTTTGTTTTAAAATTCTCAAAATTTCACTTCCTGGTATGTAAAACAATCGTCCTAGAGTCGATGATACTCATCTTCAGGGGCGAACCCAGAAATAAATATGTGTAGGGTCAAAAACTAATAAAATTGTCACTGGCTGGTTTCAAACCACGGTTTTGGGAAGGTCAAACAACACACTTTACCATCTCTGCTACCGGATTTTTTACAATATCTTATAGAAAAACAATATGTTATCAGTTTTTGTGGTGTCAAATGACCCCATTAATCATAGTGTGGGTCCGCCTTTTCTCGTCATGCCTGAAGCCAAAGAGAGATAGGGCATGTTCATTTCTATATATAAATGGATTGTCTAGATGGAGATAAAATCATTGTTCGTTTATATTTAAAATTATAAATCATCTGAATGAACCATCAAAATAAGTTTTAAAAGTTTAGCCTAAAATGAGATTCATGCAGATGGTTCACTAAGATGAATTTAATTGGTATATATGGATTGAGATGAACATGTCCAAATAATAAATGACATATATACACATTTTCGCCAAAACACATAAAAAGATATTTTTCTATCAAAATCACAACTATATCTTTTTGTCAAAACCGCAAAAGATGCATTTTTTCACTAATACCACAAACACATTTCTCACCAAAGCAATTAAAAATTCATGTAAAACCCGCAAAAACTCAATTGTTCTCCAAAACCACAAAAAATCACTTTTTCGCCAAAATGCATTTTTTTTGCCAAAGCCAGAAAAAGACATTTTTGCCAAAAATGCAAAAACACATTTTCTTCCCAAAATGTATTTTCCCACCAATACCAAAAATATTATTTTCCACTAACACCACAAAAACACATTTTCTGCAAAATAACAAAAACATATTTTTCCGCAAAAACATATTTTTTTCCACTCAAAATATATTTCCCCCAACACCACAAAAACGTATTTTTCACAAAACTGCAAAAACGCATGACTGTTCATTCAAATTGAGAAAGAAAACTTGAAATTTCTTACCTGCTGATGATATACAACTATGTATGTCGACTAATGACATACTGGCTTTCAACACTACTCAAACATGGAATCACGAGAGAGATTACTCTGAAGGTGAATTGGTTTCGTGGTGTTTATTTCAAAGCTGCAACTTCAAAACATTTTGTTATGGTTTGGATACCAATGCAAGATCGGCTAGCCACTGGAGCCCGGATGAAGAAAGGAATCCGAAAGTAAACAATGTTTGTATTTTGTTAAATTCTTTGACTGAGTCTAGAGTCCATATTTTTCAGTTGTACTTATTCAGCAGGACTATGGAGCAACTCAGTACTTGATTACTCGTTTTTGTTAATGACGAATACACATTTTCCTAAATCATAGTAAAATAATCAAACATAAATGATATTTTTCTATAAGCATTTTTTTTCTTATATATTCTATATAATGAATTGACTTAAACATAAAAATGATGAAATCTTTTTTTATATGCAATAAAGTGATTTAGTTTTAAATTCCAACAAATTATCAAATAATTTAAAATAACTTATAAACTAAAGCTTGACCCGCACGTCCATACGGCTACTTATTTTCACTTTTATATATATGGATATTATTAAAAAAAATTATTAGTTAGTATTTTAAATATTTATCTTATTTAAAATTCTTATACACATGATAATTAAATAGTTTACATGCTATAAAATATTACATAATATTATTAAAATTGGTTTTTAAATTTGCAGTTTTCTAAAATGTAGCTAAATCATTTTAGGAAATATCTTGATTCACAAATTTTAGCTAAACTTGATCTAAGAAATAATTTAATAAAATAGAAAAAGACAATGATTATTTAAAATTAAGGCTATTTAATACTTTAGTGGTATGAGAATGTAAATACTGAGAAAAAGTTAGAATCAACTCAATTTTGTACTTCTGTCTTAATAGATTAGATAGCAAATAATAAAATAAGATAAATAACTTGCAAATCCATCATTTTTAGCGAGAAATTTAAATTGCAATTGTTGTTTTTAACAAACCAAATACAAGTCCAAAATTTATTACTCGTACAAGCCAAGCGAGTACAAAATATATTAAAATACCAAGCACTCAGCTTGTGCACACCCCTAGTAAAATCATAAGGTTCTTTTGTCAAAATTCCAACATTTTGGATGCTTTTCATAAGAAATGATAACTTTGGGTTCAAAATGAAATAACAAAACATATATTTTGGTCAAAAAAGGAGCTCAACGTGCAAAACGCACATTCAAATACTTAAGTAGCAAAACGTTCCAAGATGAAAGTCAGACAAACGAGGGAGAGAGTCTTTTTGACTATGGTGTTCAACAGTGCGGTGGTTGTGGCTGTAGCCGACGTCTCCACCGATACGTGGCAGCTGATATGGAGGGTTCCGTCGTCGCAGAGGATCAACACACGGGAGCTTGTGGACATGGGCTTGTATCAGTTGAGTCGTTTGGTTCTCTGTTTATCGAGTTTTATGTATATCCCTCCTTTTGATTCCATCAACTCTTACTCCTACGAGCCCATATCTATTTTCTGATGATCATCGTTCTTGTTCGATCGGTTGATTGACTCATTCCTATTGTTTTTTTCTGAGCTGCTTGATTAAGGTGATGCTCCTGTTTCTTGAAAAAGTTACAGAATTTTCCTTTTTTTAGATTGTAAGTATTACATAAGGATAGACAAAGTTTATGAAACAAATATGCAAAACCAATAAATTTTTCAATTTTCATATCCTTATGTTTCAGTTTGATCTTGTTCTTTTTAGCAATGGTTATGTTCTTTTCAACTTTCATGTTGATTCGGTTGATGTTAATAAATTGATTTTGTGTTGTAAGACGTTTCAAGATAATAAGTGTTTGCTTTTAACACCTATTGTTGATTAGTAAGACCATGAAGCTGGTCGTTTTAGACACTTCCGCGATTGTACATTTGCTGTACTCATGAATCCACTAACCAAGCTAGGTTCCTCAGATGGGTAAGTCCTTGATAAACATGAACGTTTGCGGGTTTCAAGGATGATTCTGGTGTTTTTGGATATAATTTCAGCCGGAAACTCTGATTTCTTCTGCTTCTTTTTTCAATCTTTATGTCTCTTGTTGCATTTTAAGTGACAGGATTTGTGGATAATACATTAATAAACAAGTCTAGTACTACTAGACAGGGAAATTATTCTCTGAAGAATCATAAAATCGTTGTCTGTTCCCAACATGAAAACATAAATCTTATCGAGTTAAATTTTGTCATGCGTGATCAGTTAATTTCATCTACAAAAAAATATACATTTGTTCACTGTTTAAACACACGTACATTTTCCAAAAGTTCTATAATCCATACTTTATATCTTATCAATAACAGATACTACACTTGATCCATACAGAACAACTTGTGTATTATTGATATCTCGATCTGTTTATACAACCTTGCTAACCCATATGATTAGGCCAAATCTAAATCCGTGTATATCTTATACAATTTGGATATATCTCCTAAATAGATATCATTATCCGATATTTCTGGAAAAGACAACGCTGTTCCAAGCCGGATCGCAGCTTCTATAAACGCATTAAATCATGATATCCCAGGTAAAGCACACTGTTTCTCTCAGCTATGGTTTCTGAGCCACTTTTAATAAAAATAATAGATAGTGTGGTACACAAGGCAATATCATCTTCCATATGGGCTGGTCTGGGTCAATTGAATTGTGTTTATACTATAGCCCAAATAAGAATGTTTGTCCAGCCATATTTGCTTCTTTTATTTTTCTATAATTTGAAGTTGATTTTGTTCTTTTTAACGTTGATTTATTATATATTACAATTATGAGAAAGATTACATAGAAAATTTGACAACCAACAATAATACATGTCTTATGATGATCTACACCTAACTGCTTCACTTGAACCGTTTTATGAAGCTTCACGTCTGGCCGAGTTTACTTGCACCATACTGAAGATAGAGTAAGCATTTCCTTTGTAGCCTGCATAATTGTTTAATAAATCGTTTTCGCCAAGGATTAAAACATGGACTTCCTGGTGTAAAAGTATCAATGAACCTTCAATTAAACCACTGGACTAAAGGGGTTTCCACAAGTTGATTTCGTTATGATTACTTAAAAAATACTCTCCGTTTTAATTTATATATTGTTGTAGAAAAAATTCGTTTTGAAATAATTGTCGTTATAATTTTAATACATAATTTATTAACTTTATTTTTCCATTTTTATTGGTTGAAATGTGATTAGGTGTATAAGTAATGGTGTTTTTATTTTGAAAATATGTAAAATTAAATGATTTTTAATTTATGTATAAAAATTTAAAACGACAACTAAAATGAAACGGAGAGAATAGTATTTATGTGAATTTTAAAATATAAATGTATAATCACAAGGTGCATGACTTTTAGCTTGAAGCAACAAAAAAGATGCACTCATGTTTGACATTTTGCGTGAAAGATAGTGTAACAAGTCAAAATTGGATTCAAAAGTTTCATCTTTAGCCCTTTCTCAAAAAAAAAAAAAAGTTTGATCATTGTATTACTTCATGTGATTCACCAGGAAAAAAAGTAAAAAGAATAAACAACAGAAAAAAAGTCACATGTCTCGATAGTCTTTCTATGAAGACAAACGCTTAAATCCATTCGAATCAAACGCTCAGATATTTCTGCCCGAAAAAAATGATCTGAGATACTCCTACTCGAATTGTTCGGATTTGAAATTTAATATATCTTTATTTAAATTCAAAATTTTATCAAAAGATCATGGACCCAACAGAAACTTACATAATTACAACCCAACCAGTGCCATTTCGCGGACCATCCAGACCCGATCCATAAATTCGGATCTATTTCTCCATAACTTCCGAAATCTTTATAAGACTTAGTGTAATCGTAAACTTTGGTGTAACTGTGTAGCGTAATAAAGCCTGAACAAATAAATATTGTCTCAGTTACAAAGTTATGCTAAATTGAACTAAATCGCACATTTAGGAGTACTCCACATTTAGATTGCAATTTATTATTACGTTATTGTTCGGCCACATGTGTTGTTATTGATATATTTATTGAAGTTCAAATAAAAAAGATTAGTTTATAGATATAACTAGAGTAATTACATAATGTTTATAGATAAAACTAGAGAAATAACACAACATATTGTGAAGAGTAATTTACATAACAACTTAGTAAAACTAGATAGAACTTCGATGTCATAAACACCCAACTAATCTTCAGTGGGCCAGGCACGAGCAGTCGAGTGTATGGCATAGCAGAAGTACCAAGCTGCACAATTCCAGAAACAACGATCGCATTTCCACCGTAATCTTGATCCATCTAGGGAGATTACAAGCATTGGAGGGTCTAGGTTGGAGCACCAGCAATAATGTGGCACATTAGGATCTACCCTTTCAGCCACAGATATAAACATGGGAGGTTTTTCGTAATCCCAATCGCCTGAGATTTCCCAACTAGTGATGATTTGAAACATCTCGTCAACATGTTGACGAGTAAAAGCAGGGTAGTTGTGAACAATTCCTCTACCATCAACGCTAAAGGCTAAGTTAAGCGTAGCATCTACAAATTGTGCCAACACACACCCTCTCTCACCAGCACGATATTTTTTTTTCCCTTCCTTCATCAAGTAAATGGAGGAAGAAGAACTCGTACATACCTCTCAGGTAGATGGCCTCAGGATTACCCAAACGGTAGCATTTAAGCTTGAAAGCTCGAATACCATTGACCTCGTTTACCCAGTCATTGAAGCAAATGAGACTGGCCGATCTATAGAAGTGATCATCTCTTCCAACTTCATTGAACCCGGGAAAAACAATCCTTGTAGAACCAAAGTTCCGAATACCGGTATTTACTACTTTAGAGAGAATCTTATGAAGCATTGAAGGAGGGAGAGAAGTCAAGTTCGCGTTCTCCATGTCTAACACTGATAAAAAAAACGGTTAATGGTTAGAGAAATCACAAGTTTGTAGAAGTGATAAACCTTTAAAATTTAATGAACCACTCACCCTAATCAAAAGAAGCGTGTCCATTTAAGTGTGATTTGATGGACTCCTCGAGAAGACACGACTTCTCTCAGACACGACTTCTCTCACACGCCTTCTGAATATCTACACTCGCATCTCTTGGAACTGTAACTTTGTATAAGATATATAACTATATATAAAGTAAGTGAAACTAAGATATATAACTATAAAAGTAAGTGAAAGTAAGTTAGTTAGATTGTTATGAAACTAAGAAAAAATTCAAAATTTAGATTGCATAAATTTTTTGAAACTATGTAAAACGTAGGTATAGGATATATTAAATGAAAATGGTACTATTAAGGTTAAAGAAAAACCTGTAATCATGGAGTTGGGTGATTTGATGAACTACTCGAAAGAACACGACTTCTCTCATGAAAATGTCTAGTTTCGAAGTCCCTCTTATAATCATTACACTTGCATTTAAACGCCACAACACTACACCGTCATTAAGTAGTAGATCATCATAACCATTGCATTTAAACTCCACTTTGAACCCCGAGAAAGCATAACTACTCCAACTTATCTCACATGCTTTCTGACTGCAACAATCACCTCTCCTGAAATTTAAGATAAATAAATATGTAAACGCAAGTGAAACTCGGGGAGATCACAGGCTAGATTTATGAAACTAAAAAAAACGTAACAATTTAGATTGTATGAAAATTTGAAACTATACAAAACTTAACGAAATTTTTGATATTATATCATTTTATTTTTCAAAAGATGGTCAGTTTCCAAAATGGATAATAGTTAGTGAATATATTTAAAGTCCATATATTTAATGATAGCAACTAGCAGTTTAGGGGATAATAAATGAAAAGGATAATATTAATTTAGAGAAAATGCCTCGTCGAAAGAACACAACTTCTCTTGTGAAAAAGTCTCTTTTATACGCCACATCTCTTGCATTTATAAGAATTCTGCATTTAAACACTCACCGTTACTCCATCTCCTCTCTCATCTCTTCTCTCATCTCTGCGAATACTCAATCTCTTCTCTCATCTCTCAACAAAGAAGATGGCAGAGTACAATAAGCTTTCCGAGGTTACTTTTAACTCCAAGATCAGGTCTTGGCGTTTCAGAGTGCAACTACACAGGATCTACCCTTACGCGATTACCAAACATGGGACTTACTATAAGTATATCCTTGCAGATGAAGATGTAAGTGTTATATCATCATCTCTCAAGTGTGTAATAAACATGCAACCGTGAGAAATAAAAACTTGATCCTTGTAACATGTAATAAAAATGATCTTTTTACTTTATTTATGTAGGGATACAAGATGGAGATGACCACTGATGGGGATTATCCAAATTTTAGAGGCCTTGAGAAGGAAGAGGGAAGATGGGTGGAAATCTTTGTGGTAGAATTTGAACGGACCTACCCATGTTTCCAGCCAACTAGCTCTCCGTTCAGACTAAATGCTTCGCGCTGTACGCAAGTCTGCATCATCGAACCTCTGAACAGTCGTCTTTTATTGGACTTCAAAAGCATCCATGAAATCCCTCGCATGCACTGGTTTGACCTCAGATATCCCATAGGTATGTTGGTAATCTCAATAGCCGCATACCTTGGTTTCAGAACTTTGTATAACTCTGTAGATGTAAGTGAAACTAAGTGAAACGAACTGATTTAATTAAGTAACACTTATATGGTAGATACAATGGGAGTGGTCTTCAACACGAAAGCCTATCTCGATGCCCCTTCAGAACCAAGGATGGAGTTTTACATAAGGGACAACATGTGAGTATAAAGTAACATATGATCCAAGAAAAAATTATATATATATATAACTGGCCCGTTTTTTCTTTATTCTGAATAGTGACCATCAGATAAAATGTGTGGTGACCGGTGATCATGCATATGCCTTCCGGGATGGTCTTGATTACATGAGTGGTGGGGGTCGTAGACAGGTGATTGTGGCCCTTAAGATGTGGAGATTCTGGAAATTTATGCGTAAGTGTTGTTTCTGTGACTAGTTTTAAATGTGATAGTTGAGTAGAACTTTTACTAAAATTACTTATACAGGTTATTTTGGTCCTCCTGAAATATGGCTTGAGACAGAAGGTGGATTTGCGGACTTCAGGTTCAATCCGCGTTTGCCCGAGGTTGAGGAATTCAGGCAGTCTCTACTAAACAGCGACCCTTATGTTCAGAAATATGGGGTTGAAGGTCTCGTGTAAATGTTTAATGTCGGATTCAACTTTGTTTAAATGTCGATAAAACTATGTGTTAATGTTGGTGAAACTATCTCTATTGTTACCTATATGACCAAACAATAAGATGGAATTTTCATAATTCAGATTAACCATAATTAACATAACATTAACAATAAATAACCATCTTAGTACTTCAGGACTTATTACACAGTTTTTCCATTGTAGTTATACCAGTAAAGAAACCAAGTTTCACTTAGTTATACAACACACAAATACAAATTGATTCCCTCACAACGTTCCGATAAGATTAAAACACCAAAACAAAACTGCAACTGAAAGGCTTACAACCTACTCTTCTTCTGTTTCTTGTGGGGATGTTCATCGTGTTCCAAACCAGTGCCCACATTCTCTTCTTCTCCATATCCACTCCCACGCTCACAATAGTTCATACTACAAGAGCTCTCTACGACTCTTGATAGCTGCTCGGTTATTTGAACTATTTGCAATTCTTCGATGTCCTCCACATGCAAAATACTTCTTCTTTGCTCTCTATCCACTGATGTTAGATAAACAAACACATCTTCATCATCCAAACTATATGGTTGCCTCTTAGGTTCCACTACCAATGGAATGTAACCCAAACTGAGCCTCTTCATAAACGGATCTATTCCCATCTTCCTGCATATCTTCTCCTTCAACATCGAATAAGTGATCTCCAACGATGATGTCTTAAAGGATATATCATACAAACGACCATCGGTTGGAATCCATTCATAATCATCTCCATCCTTAGAATAATGTCCATCATAATCAAAGTGTATGTTCGTCGAAAAAGGACTCATTGTCTGCAATAAAAAAAAATTAAACCCCTAAAGTTATACTTGGTTATACAGTTATATCATCAAAGTTATACTTCGTTACATCATGTTACACAGTTGTGCCAGTAGTCAATTAGTAATCGGCCAACGTCTAATCTTCTTTGATTGAATCGTCCTTTCATTCCTGACATTCAATCATACTGTTGTTGATTATTTGTTGATTATCCAATTGAGTAATAAACAGACCATCCACACTTTCATTCCTTTCTGATCTTCGATTAGTGAATAAGAAATTTCCAGTTACAATGACTCGAGTCTTCTCAATTCAAAACCAAATTTTAAACAGCTTTGACTCCCGACATTCAATTATACGGTTGTTGATTATCGAATTCCTTAATAAGTAGACCATTCAAACTTTCCGATCTTCCTCGATTAGTTCATACACAAATACGAAATCTTCTATCTAATCGAAATCTCTGTGACGATTTGAGATACATACCCTGTTACACGGAATAAAAACGACGAGATCGCAACATGGAAGGAAGAACAAGCAAATGTTCTGAGAAGACTGGACTCGACTAATACTCCAGAAGAAGAACTCCTCGACGACGGCTCGATGAATATCGATCAATTTAGAATAATTTGGAGAGAGATATTCCAGAATTATTTCGAATTATTCATTAAACAATTCATTAAATTGGTCATGGACATTTTCGACATTAACCATCACTCTTGAGAGTATCCGAATAAATAAGAGTACTCCAAATTTTGTGAGAGTATGTTAGATCACTTTTTGCCTCATTAAGAGCATCTGAGGTTTTCTCTCAATCCATTCACCTGATCATCTCCACACATATCTACCGTATCTATACTGTACATGTTAAAATGCATAGTAACAATAATGATAACATTTTTTTTAATAAATAACTACATTTTGAACTGTGTACCCATGCAGATATTTAAAAAAAAAAAATTATTAAAACAATTTCATACATGATTGAATGTATATATTTTGATGTTTATAATATTTAATATGATTATATAGTCTATATGAATCAGTTTTATTAATTCTTTTAAATTTTCATCTTTTTAATTGTTTATATATATATATATATATATATATATGTATGGGTTAGAATTGAAATGTATAATATATATAGCAATGAAGGTGAATTATCAGTCATATTTCTAATTGCAATTATAAATAGGTAGGTGGAAATTTGTTTTATTAAAGTATTTGAATTTTGATAGATTAGGATTGCAAGTAAATGATAAATAAATTTAATGGCATAAGGGTGTAATTATTGAAGAAAATTAAGTGTATTCAAATTTATACTTCAATTTTAATAATTTAGATGATACATTTTTCTTTAACCATCATTTGATGAGATTACACAATTACAAATAGTAGCGGAGCTAAGTTGTAAGTAGGGTGGTCAATTGCCCCTATGGAATATTTAAAATTGAACATTTAGATTGACATCTAGTCTCTTTGTTGCGGTAATTTAAAATTCTTTTTTTTTACTCCTATATGTTGACACTACAAGAAAATATTTCTGTAACGACGACACTTTACGACGAAAAATATTCGTTGTAAACTTAGGTGTACATTACGTGGAGTTTACGACGAATATTGAGTTCGTCCTAAAGACCACATAAAATTACGTGGAATATATTTCGTCGTAAGACAGATGTAAAATTACGACGAGAGAACGAAGAAAGAGAAATTTTGTCGTAACTTACTTGTAATGTTACGTGATGTTTACGACGAATCTTGTTCAAGTTTCTTTTCGAGAAAACATTTATGGAGTGAGCTTCACCTAACTTTATTCGTTGTAAAACACATGTGGTTAAGTTGTAAATGACAAGTAAAATAATTCGTTGGAAAAACTTTGTAAATTCGTTGTTACACAT